TGGGGCGTCACCAGAGATGATTGAGAAGGCTCATTGGAGGGCGAAAGAAGCAGAGGAAAGGGTGCGTATTCTTGAAACTCTCGAGGCTGATGTGCATGACGTGAGACGTCTGGCGTCGAGCGTTCCACATCTGGAGCTGCTGGTGACACGTATCAATGAAGAGCTGGCGAACAAGTCCGCCTTGTTGGAGGACGCGGAGCGGAAGCGGGAGGATGTGGAGCATCAGTTGAAGCGTGTGCAAGATTTGATGCGCACGGCGATCGATTTAAATGCGGTCGCTTGTGATGTCCGTGCACTCAGGCAACAACTTTCCCGCAGGGAAGCTGCCATCAAGGAGCTACAGGCGGAAGTCGTGACCGCGGCTGGTGGTGGTGCTGGTGGCGGTGCTCGAACATACGAAGAGGTTTCGGCGGAGTATGAGAGTGCCAATACGGAGCTTCATCGTCTTAATGTGATGCTGAATGAGGCACAGCGACGTGAAGATGGTGAGTCCGACCAGGCGGCTGCCAGTGAGCTCAACGCGAGGCGGGCTGAGTACTACCAGTTGGAGATGAAATGGATGCGGCAGGGTGAACTGGAGGAGGTACTTGCACGATACAAGGGTGAGGAAAATGGCTACAGGGAGCGCATCGCCGCAATCAACGCTGGGCAAGAGGGACTGCGAGAGGAGCTCCTGCGTCTACAAAGTCGTCTTGACACCCTTCAGCGGGCGCGTCAGGATGCCGAATGCGCCGCGCAGCAAGGCCGAATTGGGAAAATAGAGGAATCGGCGCGAATGTTGGTAGGGATTCTGCCCAAGATGCGCGATTACTTTGCTTCTAAGCATGGGGAACAATTGTTCAGAGCACGGGAACAAATGCAATTGGCAGAGGCATCGCGCCTGAGAGCCGTGGATGAGGTAAGACAGCTGCGTGAGGCGATCCAGGAGTCACGACGTGTGGTGGATGAACAGCACCGTCAGGCGGTAGAGGTGGGGAAGCACATCGAGGCCTTTAAGAGGCGTCAATCGATTGGTGAGGATCAGGCACGACTGCAGGAGGTGGAGCGCTCTCTTACCGAAATGAAGAGCCGGGAGATTCGTGGAGTTGCGGCAATATTGGGGGCAGATGTCATTGCGGGTGAGACGGTTTCACGCATCCGGGAGCTCATCCGCGAAAAGGTGAGCGAGTTGGAGCGGTCCCGTGCGCAGCAGGAGGGAAATGTGGAGGCAATGATGCAAGACATCGCAAACCTCCGGAGTCAACTGGCCCGTGAGAAGTACCACGACATCGAGAAACGATACCGATCCACCTTTTTAAAGGTCCAAACAACCGAAATTGCCGTTGCGGATATTGAAAAGTACTACAGGGCATTGGAGAAGGCAGTGCAGTCTTACCATCAGGAGAAGATTGCACAGATCAATCAGATTTTGGCGGACCTTTGGCGACAGACGTACAAGGGAAGTGACATTGACACCGTGGAACTTCGTTCCGAGGATGATGTGACGTCGACAACGGCGCGTCGTAGTTATAGCTACCGCGTTGTGATGAAACGAGGGAACAGCGAGATGGACATGCGTGGCCGGTGCAGCGCTGGCCAAAAGGTGTTAGCATCCGTGCTTATTCGTCTTGCACTTAGTGAGGCGTTCTGCTGTGACTGCGGCATCCTTGCGCTTGATGAACCGACGACAAACCTGGACGAGGACAACGCCCGGTCGCTTGCAGAGTCTCTCCGTTTGCTTATTGAAAACCACCGCGCCGTGAAACATTTTCAGTTGATTGTCATCACACACGATGAGCAGTTTGTGAGGGCACTCGGCGGACAGGCACTGGACACGTTCTACTACATTCACAAGGACAGGGACGGCGCTTTTTCAGTCATCGAGGAGCGCACCTTTGATCAGTTGTTCGCAGCATGAAAAATGAATACAATTCTAAATGAGAGCAGACGCAGTTGCCGTGTCATATCCACAGGCGTGCACCGGGAGTAAAGAGTCAAATGGGGGAAGAAAAAAGCAAAGAAAAACGAACAATAAATTCCACCCCACCAAATAAAACACGTCGATAGATGCATGGAATGCTTGCAGAAAGGGGAGAGGGGAGGGAGAACGTCTTCGTCCCTGACTGGCTTGGATGTGTGCAAGGTGAAGGGCGTCAGCTCCCGAAGTGAAGGTCGAAAAGAATCGGGAACGAACGAACGGAAAAAAAAAAAAGGAAGGAAGGAAGGAAGGAAGGGGGCGGCACAGAGTGTGAAACTCACATATTTTTTTTTTTTATTTGCTTATTTTTGTTTTAGTTTTGGAGTGAAGCCGAGTTGGTCTGTGGTATCGCACGCGGTGGATATGAGGTCTCTCTCTCTCTCTCTATTTTTCCTTTTTTTTTTTTTTTCTTGTTGTTCTCATTTTGTGTTTTCCTCTTGTTGATTGTTTGGAGCTGTCATTTCTGTCGCAGCGAAGGGAGGAGGCATACACAGACACAAACACACACGCGGGAACACCTCTGTTGGAGTCCAGCGAAAAGACCCCACAACAATACCAAAAAAAAAAAAAAATAAAGGAGGTTGAGGAGCCTTTTGTGGCTGAGAGGACGGACGAGTCCTCTTGCGGCAGCGGTTGTCATTTATCATTTTTAATTTTTGTTTGCGCCTGTCTTATTGAGTGTGGCACGAGTCGATGAGTGCGGCGGAGGGCGGCCAAGTTGTGGCGAGTTACATTGCACTCCCCAAAGCCCCGCGGTCCGACTGGAAGGCATCGGACTTTGAAATGCTTCACAAATTGGGGGGCGGCAACTACGGGGATGTTTACTTGGCCTCCGTGCGGGACTGTAACTTTGTGTGCGCCATCAAAAAACTTTCCATTAAGAAACTGGCGGAATTTGACATTGTCGCGCAGCTCCGCCGGGAGATCGAGATTGCGTTTCACACCCGTCACAGGTATCTGCTGCGTACGTATGGGTACTTCTTCGATGACACAGACATTTACCTCATTCTAGAGCCCTGCAGCAATGGGATGCTGTACACAGAACTGAACCGGGTGAAGTTTTTTCCTCCTCCAACCGCAGCCCGCTACGTTGCACAGTTAGCCGAGGCGCTTCTTTACCTCCACCAGCATCACATTCTTCACCGCGACATTAAGCCGGAAAACATTCTGCTCGATCACAATCAAAACATTAAGTTGGCAGACTTTGGGTGGTCTGTGCACGACCCTCACAACCGCCGGAAGACGTCCTGCGGCACACCGGAGTATTTCCCGCCGGAGATTGTTGGGCGCCAGCCGTATGACACGAGCGCA